TGATCAAGGAAAAGGAAAATAATTCAGTTAGAGTTAGCGGGGAATTTGAGTTATCTGAGTTCCAGTTATTGAAGCTCTCCTGTAATTGGATTAATAGTGTTATATTCAGCTCTTCACCACTTTAATTGGTAATTTGACTTAATTTATCACCGGCATGCAAATTTAAACTCATAAATAATCACTTGAGATGTATTGATTTGTTTAATGTTCACGTAACTGCAGCTTTAAGGAGGTCCAATAGCAATGTACATGGGCCGTAACAAAGGTGGGTCGTTAATTTGCAAATACCCAAATTAGTGCTGTGACACTTAATTGAGAGCGGCGCTTATTAATTAAATTTGAGTAAAGGTGTGGCACGTAATCAATCATTTACGGTACTGCTGCAGCTTCCTCATGCTATAGCTCTACAGTACAACATATTGTTCTTATTATCTGGATTCATACAACACACTGGTTCTCTAAAACCATATCTCATCTCAGGAAACAGTTCTGGGTACAAATGTGTAAAGATTTGTTCCACTTCTGAAGGAAAAAAAGAGATTAGCACATAATAAAAAAAACCTAGCTACATTCATAGCAAGCTTAATAGCTTTGATAACTATCATTGTAAAATAAGGCTTTGACCGATTGATTGATTGAAATGGTTTGAAATTCATGATATTCTGGCAAATGTTTTAGTGAGGAACTACTTGGGCTTGCGAATTAAATATAATGGTAGATGTATGTGTGACAGACATGAAACTGTTGATGCCTAGATTGCAAGCAAAACTTCTAAGTTCACTCAAGGGAGACTCAACTAGCAGCTTAATTGATCATGATTAAATCACAAAAAGCTAAAATGAGCTAAAAGTATAGAAAGCGGAGTCTCTTAACTATTGTAAATATGACAAGTAAACAAACAAAACAAATGGAGCATTATCGTATGGGAGTGAAAATTACAATACTTACATGAGGCAGTTTGGTCCATTGCATCATGAGATGTTGCCTTCGCATAAAGCTGTCTCTGAAGCTTATGAGCAGCCTCAAACCCTCGATTGGAAAGTTGGTACAACAATCTGTGGATACGGAATAGCATCAGCACATGTTCTATTGTCAAGTGGCCATAGTCTCCTGTACCAAGGGATCTTCCAAACATCTCCAGAACAAGGAAAACTAAAAAATAATTGTGTCCTCTTTGAGAAATAAAATGACTATGATGCAAGCTAATAATAAAATGACATAGCCCCACAAAGTTTAAAAATTTTTGAAACTGGTTTCAATAGAAATAGAACATCAAGTTAAACTTTACATCGACATTAAACTGTACAATGGTGGCAACAGATGGTACAACCCTTTACAACAAAAATGTCATTACGATGTTCCTCATCCTCTGAGAAGTGTTCATCTCTTAAAATGAGGGCAATTTCTCTCCACTCAGAACAATTCTGTAGAAGGTAAAAGGTTGGTTTTCATAGTTAATAACTTGCTAATTGACAACTTAATTGAACATCCGTTAGCCTACTAAAGTGCATAGACAACCCACAAGTTAGATGCTTGTACTGTTAACTTTTCAATAGTAAATTTTTTCGACAGGAGTACCAAAAAGGCAAGTTTAAATACTTGAACCCTCTTGTTTACATATTTTGAATTAATTGTGATCCTAAATTTTGTTTGGTTTTCTGAACATAAATTCCCTGACAGTTTACTACGAAATAATGTAAAATATATTTACCGATTAAGGGTGAAAATTTTATTACTAAAACGTTATCCAATCCATTGAAATATCATTTACCAAAAATCGGATTTTTGAGGTTCAAAGCTAGTACCTTGACTACAAATTCCTTAGTTAGGTGGGCTGCATAAGGACTCAAAAGGAAGTTGGCATAGGCTTTCTGGCTGTTTTGAGACTTTTTCCCTGTTTCCTTTGATTTTTTTTTGCTACTCATGACAACTGAAGTACTAGGGTATACTTCTTTGAACTTGCTTTCCAACTCAAGTTGTTTTTCCTTCCAAAACTTTAACTTGCTTCCAACTCGTTTCCCACAGCTACAAGGCAAGCAAAAAATTTAATAATAATGAAGCCTCAATGACTTAAATGGATCACCCCAAAAAACCGTTTTGTAAAAAGACCATTTGCCGCTGAACTGCCTGTGTTGTCGGAAACTGTTGTCAGTAATATTTGATTATTATCACATTTTCAATTAGTGCTATTGAATCTGTCAAGGGCTCTATTAGTGAGACACGCAAGTTGCAGTTAACGCGAGAATCTCGTGACATAATTGAAACATTCCAGTATAGGGCATATTGACAGGTTTTCTGACAGATAAGTGAAACAATGTATGTGCGGTATTGTATATCTTTAAAGAACAAATTTTACTTCAGTGTGAGAGAGATTTTTATGTCGTGTAACCAAACCAATAAATTAGAAACCGAGAATATCGTGTGTTTTTCCATTTCCAAAACCACTGACCATGTGGATCAACGTCCCGAATAACGCTTCAGCTGTCCTCTGTGCAGGGGGAGAAATCTTATCAGATCAAAATGAAGTCCACGCAGTCAATGCTCAGCATAAAGGGGAGTGGACAAGAAAAAATTGGCTCTTTCCTGTTAATAATACTAAATGGAAGAATCAGTGGACCTTCACGAGGAAGCAGGTAAAGAAAACGAGCAAACGTTGGCAAATTTGAGTCCTGCCGAAGCTACGAGAAAGGATGAAGTCGAAATTGAGAAATTTTTGCAGGAACACTCAATACAAGGCTCAGAGCAATTTAAACGCATGGAAAAAATTTTGTGAGTCACTGAAAGAGTCCAGATCAATTGAAAACTTACCTGCCAATGATCTCGACCTTCTTTATCCAAATTTTTCATCTCCGTTGGTAAAAAAAATGGCACTGAGTATGAGCCGGGTACCAAGACGCGTTTGCTGCGGCCAAACTCAATGACACAAACAAGGTTTCTAATCACTCCGTTAGAAAGATCAGTGTTGGAGGACTTCTCGAAGAAGACGTTCAGCCAAACTTCATTGCACAGCTAAGCGGTCACAAAAACTTGAACAGCCTTGACAGCTACCATTCAGCATCTCTCAAGCAACAGCGAGAAATGTCTGCTATCCAGAATTGTGAGCCAGGTACATCTGCCCAGTGCGAAGAAAACCACGTCAGTACCTCCACTACAACACAGCAAAATGTCTTCACAGTCCAACAAATCCAGCTTCAGGCAATTTTTTCCGGAGTGCATATTGACAAGTTCGAAGGCTGAATGAGAACTGATCACTGAGCGATCGAGGCACAGACAGGCATTACTTACATTGCAGTTGCACTTTTGGTCGCTTGTCATAAATTGTTGTTTCAACCACAAGCTTTTTCATTGAGCCCGTATGAAAAATTTTGTCTTCATTCATTGACGAAGTTTGTGCAAAGCTGGACTTTGAACGGTTATTTTCGTCCTGGACTGGAGACCAGTGAGAGAAAAAAGCCAGCTAAATGCTTAAGCCCGCGCAGGGAAGCAAATAAAATCATTTATGTTTTTGTTCCTTTGCTTTCTTGTTTTGCTACATAGTAAACATCTTATTAACCAAGCTAGGTCGGTCTGTATGGGAGAATCTTGACCTCGGTCACTGGTACAGACCTCACTGCGTGCGGTCTGTACTGGTGACCTCAGTTAACATTCTCCCATACAGACCACCCGCTCGGTTAATAAGAGCTAAATAAGATATTTTCCGGCAAAATTCACGGGATTAAATGGGTCAAACAATTCTGTACTGCAGTAGCAGTCAGGTATAGGTAAAACGAAGTGAGTGTAAAAGAAAAAAGAACAATGATGAGCCACTGTACACTTATGCAGAAACACATCACTGCCATACCTGAGTCTTTTAAGTGGATTTCTTCTAGTCTTTTACCATAGTCACAAACAGAGATCTCAGCGTTCAACATCTCCCTGAAATACTAAATGTGATGCAAAGAATGTTGTTACAAAACGTGCTTCACCTGTACAATACAGAAGTCGTTAAAACAGCGCTGCAACGAGTGCTGCAGAAAGGTTGTACGAAAGCTGTTTTCCGTTCGCTGTAGCAGTTCATTTTTGTGACTGCTGCAGTAGCGAGACTGAGAGCTGCAGGAGTGCTGCCGTAAAGATGCAAAAAATAGCCATATGGTTGATAAACAGCTTTTATGCAGCGCTGTGCAGCATTGGTGAAGTGCTGCAAAGAACAGTCGCTGTGCGCGATTGCGATTCAATCGATAATTTAAAAAAAATTAATAGAAACATCGGTCGTCTGGATATGAGGATAATGAATCCCGCGCTTACCTGTATGCAATCAGCATGTTTGCTTCACAAAGCACAGTCCATTTCATACGACTTCTTAGTAATAACATGTGTCAGCAGCAATGCCAGAACTAATGTCCTATAATGCTTAACGACACAGAGACAAGTTTCCAACCTTTTATGTATTAAGTCACTGATTGAATGCACTCTCTCATTCGACCAGTCACACGTTTTACTTAATGTTGTATGTGTTCCACGCAATTAAAAAAGTTGGGGAGCAAAAGTAAATTCTAAAAATTTTTTACACTGTTTGTATTTAAAGCCTTCATGATGATGTAGCTAGCTTGCACTTATGTTGTTTTTACTGGACATACTGAGTGTATGCAAAGTGCTGTTATTTATAAATACTTTCGCATCGAAAATCAGTCAGGTTTAACACTTAACGGCAAGATTACACCACAAAAACATTTTTAAACTAGCTTAGAGTGGAATCACCTAGAGTGACTTCTCAAAACCCTTGAAACAAAATTAAGCAACATTGTTTAATAGTCAAAAATAAACAAAACAATGGAATTAGTGTCCATGGTGTTTAACGGTTTCTAAACCAGTCTAACCTGTGCGCATTGTCGATGCTTTCCTTTTTAAACACAGTAAATACGAAAGCCAACAGAAGATGTGACATTAACTTGTACCAGTTATTTTTTGAAGCTGACATTAAGTACATGCTGAAAAATTCTGGAGGAGGAAATTTGGAGCCCGATAAAAGTCGCAGCGTTGTAGCCACAGTCGCTGAACAATTTGGAAGGGAATTACACCCTATGCCAAGAGATGTCGATTGCTTTTTTAAGGCTATGGGATTTAATGTTTTAAACGTTGGATCCCATAGTGCTCTTACGAACCATTTTACATCACTCGGACTGATTCAAATTGATAACATCGAAGAAATGGCAATAAAGCTAAGGGCTATGATGGAGCATGAACTTGTTTATAACAAAGAAAAGTATGTTGACTTTGTACAGGAATACGGAATGCAAGAATGGGAAGAGCGTGTTAAACAATTTCTTCAGCCAGGAGTGTTTTCGGGTGATGTGGGTGATTTGATGGTTAAGGCGACTGTAAATGTGCTAAAGATACCTTTGATTCTTTTAACATCGATTGAAAATTATCCGGTTATAAATGTCACTCCCGATGAATTCACTGAGGGATGCAGTGATTTCTGTCTGTTCGCAGCGTATAGCCGAGAGGGACCGGGACGCTACGATGCTCTTTTTGAAAATCAACAAAGAATGGAAACCGTCGAGGAAGTATCCGCGAAGCCCACACAAAGGTGTACATGTGGGATGAATAGCAAAGAAGTGAAAAATGTTTGCTGCAAACGACAAGCAGGCGGTAGTCGCCAGTATGCCTCCCGTTGCCCATGTCTAAAAGTAAAGCAATGGTGTGGAGAAAACTGCAAGTGTAACGGTTGCGATAACCCCTACGGGAAGAAAACTAGTATTGGAAAGAGCACCAAACGGAAACGAAGCAAAGACCAATTTGGGGGAGAAAGAAAAAGAGGTCTTCAATTTATGATTGATAACGATGAATCTGTCAGTGATGGCAAATGGACAGATGAAGAAAATTTAATCTTGCTTCAGCATGTCATGGGCCAGCCCGAAGTTCTAGAGAAAAACATTCCAAAGCAACTAGTCACTAAACTAACCAATGCCTACAACAAAAGCGCTAATGAAGCAGTGAACATATTGAAACTGAACTTGGTTCGCCTGAAAGACGAAAAACAAGTGAAGCAAAAACTACAGCACCTTAAACAGCGAAAAGAATTAGCGCTCCTTTTGATTGAGGAACAAATCAATCTTTCTGTGAAAAATATTGCTACTTGAACGTGAAATACGTGAAGAAACTTGTCTAGAACACGCATATTCCTTGGTGGCTGTGAAGCCGTTGTTATATTTTGACATTTTGTTTATGAATATTGGCAAAGAAAATACGAGAAAATATACATTGTACTCATGGGTGCTTTTTAACAATAATAATTAACAATGGCTATTTCAACCTGCAAACTACAGTCTGCAAAATATACCTGCGGATATAGTATTCATTGGCTAATGTGAAGATAATTGTTTTTCCTCATACTCAGGTCATGTTTATACATCGAATTTCAGTCTATGTGTAAACCGGAATTATTCCCATTCGCATTCGCATTCGTTGTGCACAATACAGTTTAACAGTTGAAAGACGATTTTTTTCTGCACTGATTTTTTACCGAAGGTGATTAATTGCAACTGTTGTGAACATTTTCTCAATGGAAACTACATTTGATGCGACTGAAATGTAAAGTATACATTGGGTCTTGGTACGTGGTTGTTCCGATTAACATTCTGATGAAAAAATATTGTTCCTGTTGAAAGCCTATGATCATGATACATATTTAAATTTTATTTTCCGTCTAGTGTTGAACTGCAATATGCAATGCTTTGACGACCCAAAGACCCAAAGACCCAGAGACCTAAAGACCCATAGACCCATAGACCCTATGATCATGATACATATTTAAATTTGATTTTCCGTCTAATGTTGAACTGCAATATCCAATGCTTTGACGACCCAAAGACCCAGAGACCCAGAGACCCAAAGACCCATAGACCCAAAGACCCAGGAACCCAAGGGCCCAGAGACCCAGAAACCCAGAAACCCAAGGGCCCACTTAGGCCCAGATACCTAACGACCCAAAACCCTAACGACCTAAAGTCCCGGAGGACCCAATGGCCCAAGTTCCCAGAGGACCAGAGTCCTAGAAACCCAACAGGCCAAAGCCCTAGCAATCCTAGAAACCTTAGAGGTTCAAAAAATTCCAACAGTCCCTCAACTTCGTAGGTCCAGAGTTCCAATAGTTTACGAGCCGTTTAATTTCAGTGGTTGATATACCGAGAAACCGCCCTCGTTACCAAGACGACACACGAGTTTGGGCAAAAATAAGTTTATTGAGCCAAGCTGAAACTGCTGATCTATAGCTTCACAATAAACCTAAACGCAACTAAACTGAAAAACGCTTAGACTACAATATGATATCAACTTCACGAAAATCATAAGTGATTAGGGAGGGAGAGGTGGGTAAGAGCTTACGCCTCGTCTCCGGATCTTACAAAAGATGTCCTTGTGGTCTGCACAGTCGATTATAAGAGACATTCGATACCTCTATAACTGGTGGTTACCTCTATAACCATCATTAATAAATGATTTCTCAATCAACCCACGTTACCAAGACGACACGCGAGTTTGGGCAAAAATAAGTTTATTGAGCCAAGCGGAAACTGCTGATCGATAGCTTGACAGTAAACCTAAATGCCAAAGTGCCCAAACTGGAGTGATGAAAGTGGTAGTGGGTTGAAAGAAATAAATAAAATAGTAATGCATGATAGAAAACTAATGTGATATAGATGATACAACTCATGCAGATAACATAGACTGGAGCTTATTTGCCATAGCATGAACCGCGCGTTGTTTTTGCTGCTGGGACAATTCTAAGTAAACGAGATAAGCATTGCTTTTCCAATCTCCCTGCAATTTGATTATCTCGGGAGGTATATGACAATCAAATGCGAAGGTCGCCCTGCCCCGGCGGAAACTGTGTGGGGAATAAAGCGACGGATCTAAATGGAGCTTAGACAAGACCCGAGAAAGAAAAACGCAAAATTGCTAAATGCATTTTCATTAAAAGCTTGAGGTGCGCCAAGAAAGCCTCTTTCAGCTTCGCATCATAGGTCTTGATCATGATTAAAAAGCCTGAAACAAACTCGGAGAGATTTAGTTTATCATACTCGCCTTGAATGCTTGGGACGAAATCGTGAGGCCAGTCTATTGATCTCTTGACCCGTTGTTGTGCGGCTGGCTCGTTGACGTCCTCGGTGAAACCTTCAAGAGTGTGTTCTTGGGCCACGGGTTGTTTTAAATGTAGTAAAGAATTCACGTCACGTACAAAGTCCACTTGTTACAGACTGTTCATGCATTTCTACAAAAATTACAAAGCGATTGTCTGAATATATATGATTTATTCACATACCTTAAATGAGCACTAGCACTGCCACGATCACAAATTCTGACGAATACATACCTTTCAGTCACACTAGCAGATTTATAATGCGAATCTTTCAGTGATAGATCTCTTGATAAATTTTGATGTGTGACCCGTGCATACTAAAAGTACCAAAAACAAAGTGATATATTTCATACGGAGCTTTTTTTTATACAGCTGTTTCCTCACAGTATTTAAGTAATTTGGTTCTTGCATATGTGACGGCCTAGGTAAAAGCTGGATTAATCTCCTTGTCCTTCAGCTGATCCTTGTTGTTTTTTACACAGAAGGCCGTAATATAATCTGAAAAGGAAATATTATTATGTTAGAATCTTCCAAGCATGTTTTCAATACATGCTACAGTTATCATTAGGTAACACATTTTCTGCATAAGGCTGCCTGAATTGCCGGGCATATATAGCATTTGGGAGAAATAAATTGTGACTCGCCAAATTTTCGCGTGTTGTACAATGTCATATTTTAAGCGGTTCTGGATATCTCGCAGTCTTAATTATCCTTTTTGGGGTCTTAATTTCGGTCTCGGAACCAAAAAACCCAAAAGTTTCGGTCCTGCAGAGGAGAACATTGTGGCACCATCCCACGAAGTCTTGAATTTCCTACAATCCCGGACAAAACTACTTGAGAAAGTTTTCCCCATCATGTCCACTTTCCTACGCAACAAAACTATTTCCAAAACGACGCCGAAAGACAGAAAGAAAACCACTTCCCCCAATTCAATGTTGCTTCCCACAAACGCCCAGGGATCAGGCTTTCTTTTGAATACACAGCAACATTGCTTTCAGGGGAAGGGGGAGTCAGGGAAGAACCGGTACAGCTACGAGGTTTAGAAAAATGCTGCCCAAGTATACAATTTTCTCAACAGTTTTGTCCAAGATTGTGTACAAGGTGATTTGCGTTTTCTGGCAAGAATATTTGCAAGGACAAAACAAAAACATGCTAATAAAAAGCACTTTACAGAAGCTGTTTAGAGCACAAAGTTTCACGCCAGACCATCTTCTCATAGAAAAGCACGACCTCATATACGTTTTTTGTAGCACCCAGTCTTTAAAACAGTCAGATTTCGCAATAGCCATACAACGCGTGCTAATTATTACATATTTTCCTGTAGTTCCGGAATGCAAGGCTCGGAAAATGTGAAAAGTAATTTATCTTTTTCAGAAGAGTCTGAATAAGACTTGTATGACGGTTCTCTTCGAAGAAAAGGAGTTCGTAGTGTTTATTTAGGGACATAATAGTCAATCCGATATGGAACCGTTTCCCGTCACGTGGAAATTGCTTCTCAGAGCTTATAATTGGTTAAACTATGAGTGTTACAGAAACTTTGTTTGTTAAAAGTCGGTTAACTTTTTATGATAATTCCATGGATAGAATAATATTACGATTACCGGTAACAAAGCATTGAAACGGTTAACACCATTTCGTTTTCAATAGAGAGTGACCTGCTGATTCTTATTAAACTTCCCTGTTAATCGTTGTTAACCATTGCTAATCTTCGCAGCCGCTCAAAACTGTCCTGTTAATCGTTCCGACTTGCAGATATTGTGGAGCGAAAAAGATTACAAGTCAACTATGGCAACTTTTATCATGCCTTGGTTTACAAATTGTCAATTTAGGTCATAATTTTTTCCAGTCATATGTAACCCGAAGACAAAACGTGCACTTTTACGGGTCACGCGATAGTACATCTTGTCACGTTATCGTGCGTGACATTTCTAGATTTCATAGTGTGTTTCTTTGAAAAATAAAAATGCAGCTTTTGTAAATATTTAATCCTCTCTCCATTTGATGCTTTTATTCATTGCAAGTGCTTGCCCGTTGACTATTTCGCCGATGGGAAAATTGTTCAGTTGTCGAGTCACGCGCTCTGAAAATTCAGCAAAAGTTTCATGGGTTATTTGTTGATCCAAGCGTAGTGGGTGAAATTCCCGTTTTTTGGCTAATCTGCTTGACGGAAACGTCCTTTTCGTCCTCAAAAATCGCAATGTATGCCCGCTACTCTTCACTCAAAGCGCGCGTAAAAACCATGCATGGAAAATGAATTTCGCAAACCTTCTTGACTGACCATTCCAATCAAGTAAGACATACCATTGTTGCTGTGTATTCAAAAGAAAGCCTGATCCCTGGGCGTTTGTGGGAAGCAACATTGAATTGGGGGAAGGGGTTTTCTTTCCGTCTTTCGGTGTCGTTTTGGAAATAGTTCTGTTGCGTGGGAAAGTGGACATGATCGGGAAAACTTTCTCAAGTAGTTTTGTCCGGGATTGTATTTGATTGGGAAAGGTGATTTGCAGCCTTAAACGTAGCCAAATAAGCCTGTTCTTTATAAATGTAGTACATTTAGTACAAGTAGATAATTAATGCAAAATGAGTGAAAACAGAGAGGGAAGAACCGGTACAGCTACAATGTTTAGAAAAATGCTGTCCAATTATACAATTTTCTCAACAGTTTTGTCCAAGATTGTAGCCTGTTCCAGGCTCTCGAATAGTCGGGGGCAAACGAAGAAGCAGGCAAGTCCTTCGCTGACTATTCATAAGGCCTGGAACAGGCTAGGAATTCACCTGTCGCTACCTCGAAAAATTCACGGCAAACATAAACATTCTCATTGACTCGATTAAACGCAAACTGGCAGAGGCAGGAGTGGTTCTTAACCTTAATTGTTTTGTTTCTTTATCAACTATTCAAAACCTGCGAAAAGTACCTGTAGGTCACTATAATCCATTAATCTGACAGTGTCGGTTGGCCACTATGTGAAAGAAAACTTTGCACATTAGAAAAATTACCACATGGGATAATGCACGCGGAAGACCAGCATGTGAAAAACAATGGTATTTTCAACGTAAAATTTGAGACAAAACAATAAAAAGGTCCCTCAGCTGTCATTACCTAAATTTTTAGCTTTAGAGATAGAAAGGAAGTGATTCTGAAATAAATTCCAGGCGATTTCAGAGAGAAGAAAAGGCATTTCCTTATGATTGAACTCCGCGGCAACAAGTGCACCATGGACGGGCAGCCTGCCTCATAATAAACAAGCAACCTACTCTACCTGGGTAGATCGTGGCTCCAGGTTAGCTCTTACAGTGTATCCCTGGGCAGCAACATCACTTTGAATGGGAAGGAGCTGTGAACCATCGGTAGAGTTTGCTGAGAGAACTTTCTCCATGTATTTTAGTACAGCAGGAGATGGAACTAGAAGTGGAATAACAGTGTGTAAGGATGGAACAAAAGTTAATTTTCCAGCCATTAAGGAATATAAGTAACATAAATAGATACTTTAAATAAAAATGTATTGCCACTGAGTCAACAGCGGTGATAAAACATGGTAAACGTTTCCCCTCTGGTCCAGTCTCTCTTTTATTCTTTTAGATGGTTTCCTTCTAGCCAATTTCATATGCGGTAGTGTAACACAGTAGAATACTACGGGCACTATAAGTTAAGTAATCATAACTGGAACAAAATTCTTAAATCTGATTGGCTATCAACTGCCCTGATTTCAGCCTTAATAGGACAGTCAAATAGGACAGTACGCGTCATGCCTAAGTCATTGGACAGTATGCGCCATCACGCGCGCGCTTATATGGCTTTTTTTTTCACTGCTAGCAAAAAAATCTCGGAATTTCTTGTGTTTTGATTAAAAAAAGAGCCTAATATATCACAAATTTTGTTAAAGTTATGATTAATTGGTAACAGAACTTCGTGTCATCCAATTTGGTCTGTAATCATACTCGTGATTAAACAAATCGGACTCCCGCTACGCGGTCGTCCGATTTTGTTAATCACTTGTATGATTACAGACCAAATTGGACTCCACTCAGTCGTGTTACCAATACTAATTGTTATTGAAATGAATAATTTTTTTTTTCTTACCTGGTTGATTTTTAAGCTTGCATCTAAGCATTTTGTTCTCTTCTTGAAGGCGGCGATTTTCTTCCCTCAGGTGAGTCAGCTCATCTCTCTGTAGAAGATCACTAAAACCTCCTGCAGGATATTGTTCACAATTGTCGGTGGGGTCCAGGTTACAAGCTACTGCCCTACCAAATATTTCGGCTGTTTTTGACAGTGTTGTTCAATGTTCCACATTTTGCTGCTGGCTCGTGCAAGGAATACTCATTGGAGTGGTAATTGGAGCTGGAGAACTAAGTTGGACATTTGCCTGGGTTTGCACACTAG